CAGGTGAGGGACAGCGAGTGATACCTGCGGTGGGATTGAAGACATGATCTGTTGATTCTGTGACTAACCTCTGATGAGGGTCTCTGTCGGGTCATCGGTAGGTCGGCGTCCAATCCGTCACTACAGGCAGTGCTGTCCCTCTCGTTGTCCAAAGAGAGTCGTAATCCTATGGTTGGTCTCCATATGAATCGGTGACACGAGTGTCGGGTCTTTGGCGGATCGCAGGCTTACGGCTCTCGTCGGACAACGACTGCCCCCTCTCTGGGCGTCCGATGTTATGGCGAATACAGACGGAGGGGAAGGGAATCGCGAGTCAATCGGCCATCACTTTGACTGAGAAGTCGATGTGCTTTGAACTCAACTATAGCTCAAAAGTAGTCATCGGATGAATGTCTGGTCTAAAGAGTTGTCAGTCTCGTATACTGAGCCGTCAGTAACGGGTCGATGACTATTGCGTCCAAAAACGGGCGGAGAGTGTAATCGATTTCCAAGAGTTGATTCAACACTCGCTGAACTTCACTGTTGCCGAAGTGCGTCAGATCCGGTCTGTGAGCCAACAGTTGTTCGCCGATCAAACCCGTGGCCCAAACATCACAACACCGGATGTCCTCCACTTCCAGTCCACACAATGCTTCGGGCGATTCATAGCCATCAGTCCAGTAATTGGCCTCCATTTCTATGGGAAGTCCCGACTCGTCGACGACTCGCAAAATAGACCCAAAATCACAGATTTTGGCGACAATTCCTCCGATTGTCTCACATCTGACGAGAAGAACGTTATCGGGTTTGAGATCCAAGTGAGCGCATCCCAAGCCGTGGATGTAATTCACTCCCAATACTACGTCCTTAAAGAAAGTGAGCGCCGATTGGGCGTCGAGTGGGCAGTGATTGGGTGATGAGGTGTAGCGCTGAAGACTACATTCGGCCGCTTCCATGACTATCACACGATTGGAACCGTTCTCAGGGTATTGGATGCGATGCGCGGACAACACATTCATGTGTTTTAAAGCTATCATTGCTTTCAACTCTTTGTCGACCGATTGAAGTGAACTCTTGCAGAACTTTATGGCCACTCGTTTGCCGTTGTATTGACCGCTGACTACCAGTCCGTTACCACCGGATCCTAAATGTGATCCCAATTGAACGTCATTTGCAAAGAGTGTCGGCAAAGAGTCTTTGATAATAGAGTTGAACTCACTTTTGAAGTGAAGAGTTGTCTTCAGTGCGTCCAACAAGTGGTCGATTTTGTAGTGAATTGAAAGCCACTCTTCGGTCGAAGTGTTGCACTCTTTGGTGTAATCGCACTGAAGAGGAGACTCACAACTGCTCTCTTCATCCCATTCTTTGGCGATCCTTAAAGAGGTTTCCGATTGATTGTCGTTCGAGTCGTCACTCAATCCAAGTGTGGATCTCTTGCGAGACGACTGAATGGTCTGTTCGTTGCCATCAACTCCTGTGGAGACATATGTTTGGACTGATTGTTGGCACAAATCGTACGACAAAACCAACGGTTCGTCAGCTAACGGTTCCGACTCTCCTGACTGTTCCAACACTTCTAACTCTTCCAACTCTTTCTCACGAGTGGTGTTATCTGAAGAGTCTGTCGACTCCACTACCGGTTGGACTCGTCTCCGACGGCCACAGAGGCGTCGACCGATGGCATCGAGTAATCGTCGACAGCAGCCCTTCCGTTGTCTGTCATGAGTGGAACCGTTGGTGGCGTTCGGATCCCTGTCTTGGGCTCTGCCTCTGACTCTTCGCCAGAGCTTTACAACACAGCACTCGTGTCGTCCACTTCTGTCGGCCGATTGTATGGCTCCACAAGTGGT